TAAATAAATAAATAAATAAATAAATAAATAAATAAATAAATAAATAAATAAATAAATAAATAAATAAATAAATAAATAAATAAATAAATAAATAAATAAATAAATAAATAAATAAATAAATAAATAAATAAATAAATAAATAAATAAATAAATAAATAAATAAATAAATAAATAAATAAATAAATAAATAAATAAATAAATAAATAAATAAATAAATAAATAAATAAATAAATAAATAAATAAATAAATAAATAAATAAATAAATAAATAAATAAATAAATAAATAAATAAATAAATAAATAAATAAATAAATAGAAAAAACTGAAAAGAAAACAATGAGATGTGGGGTAATGAGGCGTTTTCTATTTTGTACCCATCAGAACCAGCTGTCATGTTTTGTTTGTGCTATTTCAATAGCCAGAAAGAAAAAAAATATTCACAATTACAAAATAACATTTTAACCCGTTCGCTTCCTTGTTATTAATAAAATTGAGCAGTGTTGCCTGCTGGCTTTGAATGTGTGGCTATCTATTAATCCAAATCCTGGCTCCCATTTCTGATAATAATATAATATTTTGCCTCTGTTTAAAGCAAGTTGATGTTCTTTTATGTATGCCTTGAAACCAAAAAATGATAAGATTTTCGCTTCTCCCCTACATTTGTATATGTATTTTTTAAACAATAAAATAAAATGATTCAACATAATATTTTTCACCTTATAAATGCCAAGTATAATATTTTGTACATTACAATTAAATTACAGTTTTGCTGCAGTTTTTCCAACAATGACTGTACACAGTGGCATTTCACAAACAAGTGTTCTATGGTTTCAATTTATGTATGACACATAACACAGGGGGAGAGGGGAGAGGGGAGGCTACTAACTTCCATTCAAAAAGTTTTGAAAACGTTGGAATATATCTATGAATAATTTGAAACTGAAAACCTCCAAGATCTGTTGAAAGTGTAGTGGTATAAGGTAGACTGAAAAATTTCTTAATGATTACTGGATATACATCATACAGTTATTCTAACTTAGATTCAATTGTTGGAGATTCTATTATATTATTATACATATGTTTATATACTAGTTTACTTGTTGATGAATTGATATGTATATACAATGTATAATGAATTAAAATAAATTACATCTTCGGGTTCAAACCACTTGTGACTGTTATTATGAATTTGAATTTTCCACTTTTTCGATATTGCAGAAATTAATCCCTGAATATGTAAATAATCTAAAGTTGACAGTCCCTTTGTTTGCCAGTAATTCCAGTTGTGAATAAATCTATAATTCTATTAATATTTTTAATTGCCAAAGATTTGAAATAAACTGAATGATTCCCAATTTTTATATATTTGTTATTCCAAAGCCATTGACGGTCTATTATATTAGGCGAGTCAGGGACAACTTGTGCAAATGCTGCCCATTCCATGCAGATATCCAGAAAGAATGGCAAGACAATTTCTTTCAGTTCTTGTACATCGTAAGTTACTACCAAAATTCCTTAACATGACTTGCATAATCACCTGCTATCCGGCTTGACCTCCCATGGTAAACTTTTTAATCCATTTAAACTTTTAAACGAATCAATTTCAATCATCTTTAGTCCTGTCATGAATTTGTTTTCGCGTATCTGTTGACCGACTTAATTAACTGATTATTAGCTGAATTGCTGTGTTATGTCTGTCATTGT